ATCACAAAGTAGTAGTTTCCCTTTGGTCGAAAATTACAAAAAAAATAGGTGAAATCATAAAAATTTAGGCAGAAAACACTCCAAGGTTTAAGCCAATAACTCACTTGTCTCTTTGATCTAACAAATTGTATTTGCTCTATTAGTTGCACATAAACACAGGTGTGTTTATGGTCAAAATAAGTCATATTTTAATGCACCAGGGTACATTACATTCACCTCTTGATTTATAAGTATTTCTATTTGAGTAGCGCTAATAGAGCAAATATGGTACAATATGAGAATCAAAAAATGTGTTTGATTAGTAAATGCAGAAGCAGTGAAAATTAGCAAACCTTTTTGTTCTTTGACTTCACCTTCAGTCTTCTGTGGAGTATCAGCTTCTTCCTTCTTGCCTTTCTTCAGCCTTTTTTTCTTTTTAGGTTTATCACCAGTCCCATCTTCTTCTGTTGGCTTAGCAGCTTTAGCTTTTGTCCTTTTTGGTGGTGTAGGCTTTTCATCTTCCTCTTTCAGAGTTTTTTCCAACTAAACCAGATCACATAAAAGTTGATAACATGAGAATACATAATATACAGTAAATTGGTTATAATACATTGTCACAGGTACATACTTAACAATGAAAACCCTACAATTTAACATCCTTGGTCGTTAATTTATAAATATATTCAATCATTTTTCACATACATTTCTCAAGATTTTAGATATAGCATACCAGCAGCAGATCTTATAAAATAATGAAATGAAATTGTGAACAAAACATTCTTAAAAAGAACAACTAGTTGTGAATAACTGTAGAAAGGAAATCAGGATGGGTTGTCCCACTTTGTACAATGAATGACAAATACACATACCTCTTTCCGGGTTTCCTCTCTTCGTTCTGTTAAATCATCAACTAATTTTTTGGCATCAAGCAAGTCATCAATGGCCTGTAAAAATAACACCATTAATTAGAAAAGTAGCAAGACATTGTATGCCAATATTGCAGATAATAGTTTTAACAAGTATGAATTCTAGGCTGTGTAGTAACCAATTGTATGCTACAATGTAGTTGCCTATGTACACTTTGTTCACATGTACAACAAGAAAGCCATCAGAGATCACTAGTTGAATATTTATATCTGCAATTGTATGGCATTTATGACCATATATGGTCAATAAATATGTTGACCGATCTACTGTGCAATGTCCTCAATAACACACTGTGTGAATGATCTCTATCTGCAATAGTGGTACTGATCTGATTTTGGACAGACGAAAGTACAACCGTACAGCTGAACACTGGTAACCACTAAATACCCCATCCACGCTACATAATAATGTTTAATAGCAACTCATATCATACCACTGGTACACTACTGAAAAGTCACACACAGATATTGATGATCACTGGTTTTCATACATATGACATAACAATATTTAGATGCAATAGATACTTATGTCAATCAAACAGTGTCAAGAGTGTACACAACACAAGTGACCCAAGTTTATTAGGACATACTCAATCCTGAATTAAAGTTGATAACTAACCTCTCTGGATGAAGACAAATACGTATCATCATCTGCTCCAAGAACACCATCATCTTCAGACAAGATATCCTGTATACAAGAAGAACATTAGAGTCTTACTGACAAATCATGGTAAAAGACATGCAATTTTACAGTTTGCTTCATAATGTAATATTCTTATGAATTAACTTTTAATTTGAAATATTTCATTCATTTATGTTATTTCTTTTGCATGTTGATTACTCATTAGTTAGTGTAATGTGTTATGAAGTGTAAACTATGAAATACAGATGTTATAAGCTGTTATGCAGGTCAGGCAAACTTTCATTACAGGGTCACAGACTTGCTTAGTCCCACAGGACTACTGTGGTCCTCACCAAATTATAATTTAAGAGTTCTCGCTTTTACTTTTTCATTTTCTGTTGACTACTTTATTGTCATTTGAATTGTTTGTACTCATTTATATTATTTGGTGAAAATAAATAAATAAATATAATAATTATTGTACAAAATTCATTTATTGAATGGTAGATTCACATTCATATGGTAGGAATGAAATATTATATTACTACTGATCTAATAAATTTATTAAATTCAGATCATCTATGTGCAAATTGTTCTTGTGTTGGAATTTGTATTATTATTATAATAAATATATTAAATTAGTTGTCAATGGTGTTCTGTGAAGGGCAGAAAGTTGTACCTTGGTTTATAAACATATTTATAAAAATGTGTTTAAACAAATTATTATTAAAACTCAAATATTTAATAATGATTGGCTCTAAAGCTCAAAACCGTCTGCACACATAAAGAGTGTGCATGCTTCTTAGTGAAGTAGCAAATGTGACCACCCATTTCTTGATTGCATGATTTTGAACTAACTTATAAACATTAATTGGTTGTAGACTTGACCACATGTAATTTAATAAAATTAACTTTTACTTCTAAGCCATATCTGCATTTATATACTATTTGTTTGTAATGTACCTTTAATAATAATAAGCAGGCATTTTGATTTTAAAACAAAATATATGCAGTATTTATAAGGTTGTCAAGTTTCTGCTGTAAATGCATTGAGTTATGAGCAACATAGAATTTTTGTTTGTTTTGCATCCAAAGTCATGAATCACAAGAATAAAATAATTTTACCATCATGGCTCTGTTTGTCCTTGGTGTTAACTCCATATCAGATGTTTCACTAGCTCTAGATGTATCAGCCATTGATTCACCTAATTTCTTACGTCTCTCACGGATCTTGGAAACCAGTGTGCTGAAACATACAAAAATTAGTACACTAAAACGTAATATAGGAAACGATATGTCTGTATAACAATTTTAGAAAACACAATCCTGCGACAATAAGTTACTGCAAATTTAACTGTTTTTCTTTTTTATTCATTAAATGCATACAGAGTATTATTGGTTCTCATTTTCAGTAATGGTACACTTTTTTTTATAAAATCCACTGTTTAATAGTGATAAGAGTATTAAATGTTTTATATGTTCGTTTTTTTCTATATTTACAACATGATTTTTATATTATAAATTACATTTTCTCTGAACTAAGTACAGTGACCATGTTTTTTTGTTTTTTCATCCTTCCTACTCCAAACTATGACAAACAGTAATTACAAAATTGCCTTGTGTAATTACAAAATGGAGTTTCGATAACAGCAGGCACCCCCCCCCCCCCCGGGCACACCCATACTATAATTTCTATAATATATTGAGTACCCGTGTGTTATACTTGCATCTAAGAAGGTGGGCGTCAAAGTAATCTATTATATAGTTGCATGGTGGTAGTCTGAGCCCTATTGTAGTACTATTGTACAATACAGTATACAGTTAAGACCCATTAATGATCTTGACCCGAGGTTTAAACATCACGTCGTTAGGGAACCCCCCCCCCCCCACGCGCACAGACACACGACGTTTTAATAGTTGTGCCTTACACGACTGCCTCATAATTTCTCCGAGCGAATAATATCAACTGTAGTACTTACCCTTCTTTCGACATTTCGACAGATTTTTTAACATACAACTCACAGGATCTGACGACAGTTAGTAACGATCCATACCAATGTACCACTCGGGACCTACCGAGGTAAACACAGTGTTTTGTGATCGATGAGAGTCACCTGATTAAGTACAGATATCTGCAAAACAGCTCTCACGGCGAATATTTACCCAAAATATCTGCAGTCTGCAAAATTTGTATTTTAGGTCATAATCCTGGCAAAATGTTACGAGCAACCAGAACGACAACAAACCCTGTTCGTCGGTATTTCCGTGGCAAAAATTTAGCTTGAGGCTACCTAAGTTGGTGTATTTTATTTGTAATGTTCTCAAATTTGTTTCGTTTTTAGTATTTATTCAACCTTGACGTGAACCAAATTTAACACACTTTTATATATAATAGGAAGCTTGCATATAATTGGAGATGATGATTTGATTGCTATAATCAAATTAAAACATTGCCATATTTGTTGTACGGAAAAGGCAGCCATTTTGAAATGAGCATAGTGATCTGTGATGGCGCTATTCACAAAAATAAACGACCCAACTCGTAATCTGGTTCCCT